TACATATAGTTATAAAGCTGAACAATACAGCAACATTCAAGTGTCTCTGCTGCTGGTAATATCAATGTTACCTTGGTGCGTGTAATGGATGAGACCCTGCATATGATGAAGCGTTAATTTGTTCATCTTTGATCCGCCCATCTTCCATCCCTAATGGACTTTTACAGCCTACATGAGTCACAACAGGTATTTAGTATGAAGAAACAAATTATCAAAGACGTAATTTTCCTGTCTTTCTAGTTAATCAACAAATAAATAAGCCTCAGCCGTGGTTTATACTCTGTGTGTTTCAAATGTCAAGCGTGCGTTTTATTTACTTGTTTTATTATATAGATTTTGAGCAAAAATCATTTTTGAGCACAATCGTGGTTTATASTCTCATACATGAACCACACTTTTTATGGCCAATCAGAGCGCGCGTTAGAATACATCTATATAATAAGAAATAATGTATTCTTCAACACCTATATCGGTTTCATAAAGATACTGTATGCTTGATTTAATATTTCATGTCTTTTGGTGTGTGATCTTGAGGTGGAGAACATACGCTGCCCAGGGCAACAAAACTAATTTTCTCTTACCAGAAATGTCGATAACTGGGAGAGGTTTGCATGTTTTGTGTTCTTTGCTTGATCCGATACAGCTAGCTCCATTACTTCGAGGAGCTGGACTCGTGCAAGTCCGTGTCCTAGTTGGGACACATATCGATGGTAGAGAACATAACAAAAACCTCCAAGGACTCCACTGGCTCCAACCTCCATCTCAAAATAATACAGTGATTGCATGTAAACATTTTCAAATTTTTAACTCGGAGATTGCGTCAGCAATCGTAGAGTTATTGGGATGGGACCAGCTGTCACTCGCTCGCTCGCTCGATCACTTTCCTGTAAACTTGAGCCTGCGATGTTTTTGTCAGCGGTTATTTATTTAATCATATTAATGTTATTCTACTTACTTCCTCTAGTTGGTCTCCCTGTGCTTTTCGATTAATTATTATTTATAATATTTATATATTCACTTAATTTGGTTACTATAGTAACTTCTATAATATTTTTGGCTGCGAAATAAATTTCATGTACCCACCAGGTTTCGACCCACCAGGTTTCGAACCCGCGACCTCTGAATTGTACGCCAAGCGCCTTAACCGATTGTGCCACGGTGACACTTTGAGGAAACTTGGCGTGTTTTAGTAGTTTTATAGGGAGCACCGCTGTTCGAGTCCGGCTTGAGACAGGACATTTTTTTTCTTTTTTTCTTTTTGATGTTTTGGAGATTCTCTTTTCTTTTTCTCTTTTTTCTAATAATAACAAACATGTTTCTGCATAAAGTTTTGTTTTTAAGAAATTCTTTTAATTTTTCGGTAAATAATAAGGTTCACCATGATGGGTTTCCTGTGTTCAATCGATATTTGCCGAAAACAACTGACCCATSGCACTAACTTAAAAACCTGGATTCAAGAGGAGAAAAAATTGTAAAAATTATGTTGTTTGACGTAGAATTGTACCGATTGCAATAAGTTTTGACTGGGTTTTCGCTTCGAGTACGTGTCAACATGGCGTCTCTGCTAAAAGTAGCTTTCACGGCCTTATAAATAAACTTCAAGCAAATGGACGGTTTCTATTCCGCTTTAGACTTCAAGGTAAGATAATAATGTACAAAGCTTAGCAATGACATACTTAAATCTTAAGTTTATCATATGAATTACAAATCAAACTTTTTAGGCTGTGTCAACCTGCCCGTGAGTATTCATTGTTTTCAAATAATTAGCTTACGTACCGAGACTAAATCATTAATTTCATCGCTAAACCCAACCCAAACCTTACCCTAAACCTAACCTAGAGCTAACCAAGGACTTTTGTTCAGTAATTCTGTATTTTTTTTT